GGTTGCCGTTAGTGGAACTTGACGACAACGACTGAGATACCAACCGATCTGGGCGGGGTTGTTGTAGCCGCTACAACAACAACAACAACGCGGATTGCATGAACCAGAACAACGGGAGCCTGCTCAGCACGAATCAGCGCAACTACCTTGATCAGAAGTAATTGTGGACTCTCCTGTGGATATTTCATCACTTGATCCAATTTTCTATAACAAGATGAAAACCCTCATTCAAGACTCCATTACGCCAAAATCAAATGTAGATATGTCGGACTATTTAGGTGATCAAGAACGGTTTGACTGTTTTTGGTTGACAACAAGGCAAAAATAATCAGTCTTATTGGGGGCGAAATCAGTTGATGTTAGGTGGAGGCTCAACCATAAAGTTTTGCAACCTTTAAGGAGTGATACATGTATTGAGTCCCAAGGTCCACAGGTATGCAATTTGACATCTCGTTCCCAGCTTTTTGTAAAAGGGTCTCCTAATTATAACAGATGCGATCTTATTCCACGTAGTAGCCTCTCAATGACAATGAGATTAACTAGTGATAATCAGTATGTCATATTTGAATCANAACTACCTTGATCAGAAGTAATTGTGGACTCTCCTGTGGATATTTCATCACTTGATCCAATTTTCTATAACAAGATGAAAACCCTCATGCAAGACTCCATTACGCCAAAATCAAATGTAGATATGTCGGACTATTTAGGTGATCAAGAACGGTTTGACTGTTTTTGGTTGACAACAAGGCAAAAATAATCAGTCTTATTGTGGGCGAAATCAGTTGATGTTAGGTGGAGGCTCAACCATAAAGTTTTGCAACCTTTAAGGAGTGATACATGTATTGAGTCCCAAGGTCCACAGGTATGCAATTTGACATCTCGTTCCCAGCTTTTTGTAAAAGGGTCTCCTAATTATAACAGATGNAATCATTGATGGAGATTCCCAGCTTTTTGTAAAAGGGTCTGCTAATTATAACAGATGTGATCTTATTCCACTTAGTAGCCTCTCAATGACAATGAGATTAANCAAGATGAAAACCCTCATTCAAGACTCCATTACGCCAAAATCAAATGTAGATATGTCGGACTATTTAGGTGATCAAGAACGGTTTGACTGTTTTTGGTTGACAACAAGGCAAAAATAATCAGTCTTATTGTGGGCGAAATCAGTTGATGTTAGGTGGAGGCTCAACCATAAAGTTTTGCAACCTTTAAGGAGTGATACATGTATTGAGTCCCAAGGTCCACAGGTATGCAATTTGACATCTCGTTCCCAGCTTTTTGTAAAAGGGTCTCCTAATTATAACAGATGCGATCTTATTCCACGTAGTAGCCTCTCAATGACAATGAGATTAACTAGTGATAATCAGTATGTCATATTTGAATCACCAGGAATAGAGTTATTATTTGCTTCCAAAATCATTGATGGAGATTCCCAGCTTTTTGTAAAAGGGTCTCCTAATTATAACAGATGTGATCTTATTCCACTTAGTAGCCTCTCAATGACAATGAGATTAACTAGTGATAATCAGTATGTCATATTTGAATCAACAGGAATAGAGTTATTATTTGCTTCCAAAATCATTGATGGAGAGTTGGAAATATTGTGCTCATCTGAGAAGGAGACGATTTTCCACAGCCTTACAGGGGATATTTTTTCGATCACTCCAAGAGAAGCTTTAAAAGAATTGTTGAAAACAGTAAAAAGTTCAGTAAGACACAATCGCACTCCACGAGATGTAAGGGTCTCCTAATTGTAACAGATGTGATCTTATTCCACTTAGTAGCCACTCAATGACAATGAGATTAACAAGTGATAATCAGTATGTCATATTTGAATCAACAGGAATAGAGTTATTATTTGCTTCCAAAATCATTGATGGAGAGTTGGAAATATTGTGCTCATCTGAGAAGGAGACGATTTTCCACAGCCTTACAGGGGATATTTTTTCGATCACTCCAAGAGAAGCTTTAAAAGAATTGTTGAAAACAGTAAAAAGTTCAGTAAGACACAATCGCACTCCACGAGATGTAAGGGTCTCCTAATTATAACAGATGTGATCTTATTCCACTTAGTAGCCACTCAATGACAATGAGATTAACCAGTGATAATCAGTATGTCATATTTGAATCAACAGGAATAGAGTTATTATTTGCTTCCAAAATCATTGATGGAGAGTTGGAAATATTGTGCTCATCTGAGAAGGAGACGATTTTCCACAGCCTTACAGGGGATATTTTTTCGATCACTCCAAGAGGAGCTTTAAAAGAATTGTTGAAAACAGTAAAAAGTTCAGTAAGACACAATCGCACTCCACGAGATGTAAGAGAACGAGCAGAAACGTCGCCTGTGTTCCACATTCAAAACCCTCCTCCACTTCTTATCCTTAAGGTATATGAATGAATCGGTTCATTCACACAAATCAAAAAGATCACGTTTCACCAAATTCAGGAATTTGCAAGAACTTGTTTTTTTTCGAACCGAATTTTTATCACAGATCGCTCGAATAAACGCCAATTTTTAATTGATACCGGTGCAGATATTTCCTTAATTTCTTCTTCGGGTTTCAAAAATCTTTTCGCAACAAACAACAGTCCAATTCCAACTTTTGGCACCATTCGAATAGCGATCGATNGATTGTTTTTTTTTTCGAACCGACTTTTTATCACAGATCGCTCGAATAAACGCCAATTTTTAATTGATACCGGTGCAGATATTTCCTTAATTTCTTCTTCGGGTTTCAAAAACCTGAGAAGGTCTTCTTCCGTGCTTTTCGCAGCAAACAACAGTCCAATTCCAACTTTTGGCACCATTCGAATAGCGATCGATTTTGAATTTTACCGATATAACTCAGCTGAACCAAATTGCATCATCTTCATCTATGATGACCGAACATGTCATCAAAACACGTGGTCTACCTATCACGTCAAAACCTCGTCGACTTAATGATGAGAAACTATAAGCCGTAAAAGAAGAGTTTTCTCGAAATGTCCATATGCTTCGCGACTTCATATGGTTAGCAAACCAAACGGTTCCTGGCGTCCCTGCGGGGACAATAGAGCGCTAAATGCTCGGACGATTAGTAATATTATGTATGGAAAGTGTATATTTAGCAAAATCGACCTAAATCGTGCTTATAATCAAATTCCAATCAGAATACAGGATATTCCAAAAACGGCTATCATAACACCTGTTGGCCTCATCGAATTTACTCATATGACATTCGGCCTGTGTAATGCAGCACAAACATTCCAGCGTTTCATGCCTGAGGTTTTAGCGGATTTGGAATTCACATTTTGTTATCTTGTCGAACATTTACATCATTTGCACACAGTATTTGAAAGGTTACACAGCAACTTTAACCTCACCATAAATCCATCAAAATGCGAATTTGGAAAATCTGAAATCCTCTTCTTAGGGCATATGATTTCAAGTTCAGGCTTAGCACCGAACCCAGGAAATTCGGAGCTTGAAGGTTTTCTCAACATTATCAATTTCTATCGGAGAATCATTCCACATGCCATTGAAGAACATCAGCAACCCCGTATTAAACTAATCCCAGGTAATAAGAAAAAGGACAAAAGCCCAATTGTTTGGNCATCAGCAACCCCGTTTTAAACTAATCCCAGGTAATAAGAAAAAGGACAAAAGCCCAATTGTTTGGACGACTGAAACAAAACACCACTGTAAGCACCACCAAATGTAAGCATGACTTTACTCTTCTCGCTCATCCTCAATCCAGAGCAGAAATCGTATTAAGCGGTGATGCCAGCAGTAGGCGCGGCTTTACATCAACCCCTCGGTTTTTTCTCAAAAAAAAAAAAATATATATATCTAATGCCAAAAGAACAACTCGGGAGGTACTGATCGCTGAAGCCGAAAAGGCAGAAACATAAATGACCCAATGCTAAAAAACAAAAATATGGTGAATGGAGCATACTGTTCAACGAAGTACAATAGCTCCGCCCGTGTTTCTGACCCGTATCCAACGTATTCTTAAAAACTTGCGTATTTTTCAGGTAATACTTAAAAAAAAAAAAAAAGACACTCATAAATTGAAAAAAACCCAGTTTTAGCTTCTTCTTATGCAATATCGACCGAATGTACATTTCTGGCCGAGCAAACCTTACCAAACCATTTTTAACGAGGTAGAATTCTGTAAATTAATAATAAAAAATTATTATATATATATATTTTTTTAATATAACTAGTTCAAACAGTAATAAAAACTATGTAATTACATTTAAATTTTTTTTTTACAAAATTTAGAAGAATTAATAAAATTTTCAAACTTTTTAATCAAAATTTTTGAGGAAAATTTGATTTTTGACAATTTTTATTTCATACGATGTTACGTTTTTTTTTCATACAAAAGGCATGCATTACATTGAAAAAAAAAAAATTACACAAGACCGTCGACAAAAAAATTGGCAAAAATCATTGAGAATTTTGAGCTTCTTCAAACTGCATCTTATTATACTAAAATTAAATGGGCTATTAGACTGCCTATTCGAAATATTCGTCAAAATTTATTAAAAAGTTTGAAATTTTGAAGAAAACTTTATAATTTTTCTAAATTTCGTACAAAGTTTGAAACTTTTAAATATTAACTATTTAAAAAATTTTAATTAAAAAAATTCTACCTTTTTAAGTGGTGGTAAAGTTTGTTTTATGTTTTGCTTTACATTTTTTAGGAATATTTGTTCGCATTGAATTCGCAACAAGGCCGATTATTTGTCAGTATACCACATATATGTACGTAAATTTGTTAACTGCATTACTTTCGTTTTACACTTAAAAAACAAAGCCTGATGTTGACATTAGGAGTGATAATTCAGACTAAAGGCATACAAATATCAAAATTCTAACTTATGTTTAAATCTGTAAGATATTCAGTCTTTTGAATCAACTCCCATTGGGGTTTATATTAAATCAAGACTTTGGATTGACTAGACGTTTTACGAACTAAGGAATGATTCTCGATATTTAAACTTACATACAAGCGGACGTTATGCGAATATCCATCAAATGGTTCATTGGGTTGATGTACCTTTTTTAAACTCAAGAAACCAGCTCAGTCCGTGATCCACCAACAGTGTTACTATTTCCGCTGTTGTTGTTGTTGATTTCTTTAGAAGCATGCTTATTCGATTCATTTGTTAAAGCAAGCAGTGTAACAGTCGGAGATGGATTTGTACCGCTATTTTGATCTGAACCATGTGTAGTGTTTTCTCTTGTTGAAATCTCCGATGCCGTGCTAACATTGGAATCTTCATATTGTAGGACAGTGTGACTCAATGGAGAAACAATATGATGAAGTGCTGGTAAGATGATTGGTGCAAAAATAGCGTTTAGATCAAGTGTTTGTTGCAGCATTCGCCACGAAGCCATAAATACTGCTTTGACACGTTCAAAAGTTTCGAAATCATACACCGACCTTGCTGTATTTGTTAAATCAAAAGGTTCTATGATAAAAAAAAAAACATTGCAAATCACATCGTATGACATCCTTGAATTAATATTTTTACCTTCAATACAGAGCTCCTTCCATTGGTGGATATCATTTTTCGACGACTTCGCTAGACGACAGACATTAATTGGCAGGATACCACCAGTACGAATTGAGATTGCAAACTGAGCGTAACTAATAAAAAAAAATAGTGAATACAATTAAAAATCCATGTTAAAAACACTAGTAACCATATTACTTACTCGAAACAACTATAATATTCTAGAAAATACAGAAAAAGTTCACCGATAGATTGCGTATTTTTTGATTCATATGACCCAATGGTCTCGTTCATGTCCACGTATCCAAAGTCATTTGATCGCAGCTGAAATAATAATAAAATAGATACGTAGCAAAGTGTTATTAAAGTGTAACGACGTACTTATGATTTAGGAAATTTCAGAACTTAGGCAGCAGTTTCGGTAACAGCGATTTTTATCCTGCGTACATTGGTTAAGTGGCTCACCGAAACCACAACATACCAAATGTAGGCATTTCACTGTCGAAGTGATGTCGTGTGAATAAAAATCGCTTATAGAGAATTTAAGTCGCAAATGGCTCCTCGATGGGTATGGATGGTCGTGCTGACCTGTCGAGTTTTTTTTTTTAAAGCAAAATAAATAAATTAAAAATGAAGGTCTTTCATTAAATGTAAACGGTACTATAGTATGAACAAATTAACTATAAAAAAAAATTATAAAAAATAAATGTATTAACATAACTGTTCCAAAGTAAATGCATATAATTGACATGAAACATATTTTAAGCACTTTTAAATAATTTTGGAAATTGACTAATAGTTAAATAATTATTAAATTGGAGGAATAACCTGGCGATATGAGGACTTACAATACAAATTGAATTGAAAACACTTTAAAATAATTTGAAATACAATTTTTTGATACAAATGTGGTTGTTCACACTTGCCTGGTTGATTATGAGGTTATGTGGTTATATTTTTTATTCTCTTTACAAGAATAAAATACACTACAGAACATTAATTTTTATCCACATAATCTGATAACCAGGAAAGTTCGAAATACCACAATATATTTGGCAATGGGAATTCACCCAATTAAATTAGATGCGACAACACTGGCAAATTGATGAAAGTTAAAAGAAAATTAGAAGTTGCACGAGGTCTTGGCCATGTGGTAATTCGGATTGCTACTTACATATATGTAGTAAATGGATATAAACCAATTTAAATATATGTAATAACGAAACATAACATACTTCGAGGAATAACCTGGCGTTTGAGGATAGGTTTCCCTGCCATTGAATTTAAAACTCAAGAAATACATATATATATCGTCGATGATTTTGCAAAACCGCCCATCGACCTGTTGCAAAACCGCCTAATTCGCCATTGTGACAAAAATGGGATTTGGTAACCTTGAACTCCAGGCATCGAGATTTATGCATAAGAATCATAAATTCGGTATTAAAACAACAGATTTTTAATATAATAGCTAAAGAATATACCGTATATCAAGGCAATGCCTCTTGTAAAATTTGAGTGCCGTTAGGATAGGCGGTTTGCAATTGGTCGATGGGCGGTTTTGCCAAAACATCGACGATATGTATACCTAGTATATGGAGAATTTACATGATTAAACTTTCAACGCGCAAAAATAGACAGCAGACCAACTTCATTGAAATCGATTAGTTAAAAGGCCATTTACGCCAGGCAAGTGCTGCATTCAACTAAAAGTTGCCTGCAAAATCGCCTCATGTAAATTCCTCTTTACCGAAACCGCCGCCTTAGCTGCGAAAATTATTGCAACGAGAACATATGTATGTAGATTTCAAAGTGCAACAAAAGTACGAAATTTTCCATTAAATGTATAATATAAATTGTATGCAGTTCTTTACTTACCAAGGTGAACTTGTCAGGGAACAACTCATGCAAACATGGGAGCACCGCTGGGCTGACAGCGTACTGCAAAAAGTGTATTACCATGAGAACCAAAGAATAGCTCGATATTGTCATATTTTTGGCATTGTTAATGTTGTGATATTGTGCCCACAGTTTTGTAACTAATACCATAGGACGTAATCGCCAATCAACTAAAAAAATATTTCTTTAATTAAATTTTTTCTTCCAATTAGTGCAGGATCATATGCAAAACACATTTCGCCGTCTTTCTTCACAGATTTGAAGGTTGGAGACGAACTTTAGATATTGTTGCCATACTGCATGAAAACAAATTTTATACATGGAAGTCACATGTGGATATGAATCAGGGTTGCCAAGTACTGGACAAAAACTATAAAAGGGAAGTGGGGTAAAGATCATTGCACACTTCCATTTTCGAGGCATAGCTGAACTAAACCAACCAAAGAACATGTATCAATCCAGAAGTCATTTGCGTTACATTAAACGCATAGGGCGATGATTATTTTTTACTACATGCAGTAGTACCGGAACAGACTCAATAGGCTGTATGCACAATAACGAAGCAATTGCTTTTTCTTAAAATTTCATACCTTTCACTTAAATTTATTTGAACAAATTGAGTAAAGGTTTGAAATTTTAAGAAAAAGCATTTGCTTGGGTTTTATGCATACGGCCCAATGTCTGGTTAACACAAATCGCTAGTGGAAGCGGAGGAGAAGCTCAGCCAAACACTAACATATTGTGTAAGCGCCAATCTATTATTTTAATATTATTATTTTACCTCCAGTTTGGGGTAACGGACATTGAACCAACGGCCGTTAGAGCCGATTTAACGAACTTGTGGAATGCAGTTTTATAGCCCATTCAATTTTGATTTTTAATTTTTTGCTTAATTCGTATACATTTGTATATTTGTATACAGTTTGAAACTTTGATTTATAGTATGAACCATATATTTGTAAAAAAAAACTACGAAATTTTAGCTTGCAAAACATTAAGGGCCGGTTACTCAATGTCTGGTTAACACTAATCTCCGTTTAAACATCATTATCAACGTGTTCGGCTCCATGCATATAACATGGAGTCGGTAACGTCGATAACGATGTTTTACCGGATATTAGTGTTAACCAGACATTGAGTAACCGGCCCTAAGGCTATCTGCACACTTGTCGTCCAATCATAGTTGCGTTATCGTCTCGCCCTGAAATTTTGAGCCGAGCACATGCATTTCAAAGGAGATCTGCACACTTGTCGTTATCGGCTAGTTATCGGCAAATCGTAGAAGATGCAGAAACGGATAAGTACGGCACTGTCGTTTGCTAATCGTTGTGCACGCATTGTTTGTTTACATTTTATGGGGGAAAATTAGTGAAAAAGTTAATATTTGCATTAAAATTGTATAAAAATTAGTATTTTTTTGCATAAAATCTGTGGAAATTATTAAAAAGTGGATAATTGCATTAAAATTTAATAAATA